TATTATTATTATTATAAAATGGTAAAATCTGTAATTTTATGATAGCGCATGTAATAACATAATGGTGATGCTTAAACGTAATAATATTAGTGGTAGCACATTCAAAACAACCAATAGAGCCTTTTACCAGCAGATCTTGTTATCAATGACATTAATTAAGGTTCTGTTCCAGTTAGTGTAGCAGAGCCTTTCCAGTGAGTCACAATAACTGCACCCTGACTCTGCACCTGAATGCAATGTATCATTAGTAACACCTAGTATACCCTACTACTTCATGTCAAAATGGCTGCTGTGAAAAAGGTCTTGGTTTCTTCATATGTACAGGGGATGAAAAGAAAAATACAACTGAATAAATACATTTCAAATCAGTGAATAAATAAATAAAAATGTTTTATTTTATTACTCCAGTACAGAAATATTAAAAACATATTGTTAAGCATATATGAGATAATTCACAAATAACCAGGCAGTTATTTAAAATAAAAATAAAAATCACAACCTGGAGTGTTATTTATCCATTACTGCATGTGTCAAAGTGGATTGTCCTTCTTATACCATGGCCAGCTGCCGGCAAAATATGGATATTTTTGTTGATATCAGGAGCAATACTTTTTTTTAAATGGGAACTCTTTATTGCCACTACCGTTGTGACCTTTGTAATAAATATAACTTTACACAACTACTCCAAAAATAGGAGAAATTGTTGTTTGACAGGCATTCCAGTATGGGTTTCAACTTGCAATGAGCAAAGAAGAGGCTGCTGCATCAGAGCTGAGCTGAAAATAAAACATCCAAATATTCTCTGTGGCCATGGTAGCAAAAGATATTAAATAACATGTCAGACATTATATAGATTCAGAAAAAAAAAACAGGCATAATATATTAATTACTGAACTGTGGTCTTTATACAAAGGCAAAATTATTTTTAGGCAATAGAAAAAATATCCAGCAAGAAAAAAATATTTTATCAATTATTTTTTGTACAGTGAAATATTCTTACAAATACATAAAAGCAGTGCTTCACACATTAAATTCTCTTACACAGTTTCTTGTTATCTCACTAGAATTCCTTGAATCAGCTAGAAAATCTGAGTATCACTGACTGCATAACCCTACTCCGCGCTCGGTTCAGTCAGGCCGATCAGAGACTCCAGGAGGTAGGTGCTCGACTCGTAAGGTGGCAGATTGACAGAGCTGAAGAGCTGGAGTTGGCAAAAGCTGTCTGAGTGTCTTTGTAGTTTGAAAGAGCTGTGCAGAGGTCCGGAGGTGTAGTCAATGTCGAAGAACTCAAGGTCGGAGTCCGAGGAGAGACTCAGGTCCATGTACCTTCCTAAGGAATAGTCCACAGTGGGGGAGGGAGTGTTGGGAAAGCCCTCAAGAGAGTCGTCATCAAAAAGGTCTCTGGCTTGGTTTGCATTCTCATCGAGGTAATCTGTCAGCGAGGTCCTGCTCATATTGTCTGTGAATGTGTCGGCTGTCAGTGGCCCTGTACTGTCAGTAGGTGTGCTGCTGTGCTGCGTCAGTGGTTCTCCTGTGTGCCTCAGCTGGCTGCACGTAGAGTAGTCATTATTGTCACAGATGCTGAGGGCACGTGACAACCCTCCATCAGCTTCAGGCAGACTCTGACTCCCATTAAGGCTTCCTCCTGCTTCACAGTCAGAGGAGGAGCATGAGGACTCAGTCATGTCGCTGCTGCAGCTGTTCTCCTCCACTACCAACCGCTCTGGGATGAAATGAAAGGAAGGGGTGGTGGGCATGGTGAGAGGAAGACCATCTTCCTCTATGGTGAACCCAAAGGGGCAGCTCTTGTCCTGCGCACTCTGCACTGTGTTGGCCTCATCCTGGTCCACGTATTCTTGAAGGTCCTCTGGAAGTCCTGTCTGGTCCTCGTGGCTCAGTGTTTCATCCTGCAGTCGCCTCTCCAGTTCGAGTCTCATGGCGGTGTGGATGTAATGAGTCTGCACACGTCTGGAGTTGAACTCGATGCGCCCCTGAGTGTTTCCACAGCCGTCCTTAGTGCAGCCACATGGGAAGTTGAGGCGGTCCACCTGTGTGTGAGAGACAGCAGACAGTGAAAATCAGAACTCAAACACAATACAATCACTGTGCAGGTAACATTTTAATTTCTTAATGGTTTCTGGCTGATAAATCAAAAGGTAGTTTGCAAGATTCCAATAAAATTCCTTATTTGTTTACA